ATACTCCAAACTGTCTCTCCTTGGTGGCCAGCAGCCAAAATTTCTTCTCAGCCTTGCTGCTTTCCACTGGCTGTTCCTTTTCCATTGAGCTCCTTGGAATCTTTTCTATACATTCATGGTTCAAGAGTCAACCAAGAATTTGAGAAGAGTTTACATGTGGATTCTGGGGTTCCCTTTTTGGGTTCTCTCCTTTCTTAGACACCCCTTTTATTTTCTAATCTATCTGACCTCTGTCAGTAAGAGTGTCTTTTTGTTTTGAGTTCTATACAGTTGTCTATGCCACATGACTGGAAAACGGTTGGAAGAAAGGCTATATAAATGTGATCACACCCAGTATGATTCCCTTCTTTTAAGGGTTGACTTCCCTCTAGTTTCTGCCTGCTTTTGGTTGCTCTACCAGGCCTTCAAATACCTTTTTTTGTATTTTATTGAGGGTTCATAATTTTTAACAAAGGATAAATAGTCTAATACAATCCGTTTTGCTATGACCAAAGCCAGACTCCTATGTCTTTAACAAAATTATGTTTTAACTTATTGAGGTGAAATTCATATCACATAAAAGTAAACACTTTAAAGTGAGCAATTCAGTTGTGCTTAGTATATTCACAATGCTGTGCAACTATCACCTCTGTCTAGTTCCACATTTCCATACTCCAAAATAAAACCCAAATAAATCACCCTAAAACTTAAAAAATTCTTAATTTTTGACTTTATATTTGTATGCCATATCTATTCCTGAAAGTCTTAGTTTCCAATACCATGAACATACTTATTTGCTTGATGCTACACTATACATAAAACAGCTTTTAAATTACCAACAACAAAACTATTATAAAGTTTCAGATTTCATTGTAATCCTCTTGGTTCTTAAAATGTACCCTACCAGGGAGGTAAAAAGTTAAGAGTACTATGTTCAAGAGTAATTATTTTCTCTGTGTTGTATATATCAATCTGATATACTATTCAGTTCATTTGTTCTGACTTATTTTCACTTCTAGAGCTTGCTTTTTTCTAGCTCTGTAAAATTTGAAGTTTTCTTTCTTTAAATTCTAGAATAGCTTAAGAAGCAGTAGTAATATCTGTTTTCTGAAAGCAGTAGGGTTTCTTATAAAACTATCTGGTTTTTTGCTTTTTTTTTGAAATAGGGGTCCTTTTTGATAACTTTCTATAATTTTTCTATATAAATTAGTCAGCTTAAATTTTCTATATCTATTGGTGTTCATTTGGTAAATTATACTTTTCTACAAAATTATACATTTTATCTAGGTTTTCCAATTTATTTGCATAGTTATATAAAGTAGTCACTTAAATGATCTTTAGAAAATTTCCTGTATCTTAATGGCTATTTCCCCTTTGTCATTTCTCAGATTGCCTCAATAATGTAGTAAGATGCCAACCTCTACAAAAAAACCAATAAACAAAGATAATATATATTTACAACTTATTTTGAGTAGGCAGATAGTGAGTACACGAAGGATCGTTACGCTTCTTTGTGATGCATCATCCTTGGTAATTAAATGGGACTAATACTCCTGGATCCACTATGCAGAAAAGCTGAAGATTAACCAATAATATTAAAAAGGTTTATTAATGTAAATGGTCATGTAAACCTACCTGTAGAATATATCACCTGTATACTAACAAGGTAACTATGTCTGAAAGATGGAATAGAGTCAACAATAAGGGAAGGACGTGACATATAGTCAATTTTCTATAAACCATCTGAAGATGATCCAATTTTACATCAGTTGTGGAAATTTTCAAATTCCTGGGATGCATTTCTGCTAACACTGAACATATTCTTGAAATTCCCACTTCCATTCTGTCTCTTACCAGCAACTAAAATACACACACATGCACACACACTTGTATGCACACACTCAGTTAGTGTTGGCTCTAAGACTATAAATACTTCTTAATAGCTGCCTTATTTGGCTGGGTGTAGTGGCTCATGTCTGTAATCCCAGCACTTTGGGAGGCCAAGGTAGGTGGATGGCTTTGAGCTTAGGAGTTTGGGACCAGCCTGGGCAACATGACAAAACCCTGTCTCCACAAAAAACCCCAAAAATTAGCCAGGGGTTGGTGGCTCTCCCCTATAGTCCCAGCTACTTGGGAGGCTGCAGCTGGAGAATTACTGGAGCCCCGGAAGTGGAGGTTGCAGTGAGCCGAGATCACACCACTGCATTTCAGCCTGGGTGACAGAGTGAGACCCCCATCTCAAAAAATAAATAAATAAATAAATAAATACATACATACATATAAAAAGAAAATGTATAAAAAATAGTTACCTTACTTAGAGAGATAACCAAGAAAAAGGAAATAAATTTCAAAGTAAAATATAAATTAAGCACGAGTAATCCACTGGTTTTGCATTATTTACATCATTGCTGTGCAATGGAACATCAGAGTCTGCACTTTACATATGTTACTGCATTTAAATCTTAAAACATGAAAGTAGGTGTCATTACTCCATTTTGGATGGAGACCTAGAGGATAAGCACCTATCTGGCTGTCTGAACTATCCATGATGTCCTTGTTCTCTGGGAATTAATTACCCTGTTTACTCAAAGATGCAGGCTTCAGCCAGCAGTCATGATTCTCCCTGGTGACTCTCCTGGTTATAGGAGATGAGGAGTAGATACCTGGTGCTAGCTGGTCCAATTTTTTTCCTTTGATTTGGAATTGGGATTCAGAGACGATGAATTAATCCTTGCATATGTCTGGAATGGTAACACCTGGCAGCTGTGCTGCACCCATTTACTGCCTTGGCGATAGACAGAATATCAGAGTCCATAATAAAAAAGAATGAAGTATATATAGGGAAAACATATGGCCAAGAAAAGGACACTTCAGTTCCAAGTACTAATCCTTCCCTGGAATTTGGCTTCCTTCCTTCCTTGGGCTACTCTGCAACAATCCCAAATTTTATTACAAATTTTTCCTTTTTTGGTCAAGTGAGTTCAAGTTGATTTCTCTTTTTCTGAGACGGAGTTTCACTCTTGTTGCCCAGGCTGGAGTGCAATGGCGCAATCTCGGCTCACTGCAACCTCTGCCTCTCGGGTTCAAACAATTCTCCTGCCTCAGTCTCCTGAGTAGCTGGGATTACAGGCATGCGCCCCCATGTCCGGCTAACTTTTGTATTTTTGGTAGAGATGGGGTTTCACCACATTGGCCAAGCTGGTCTGGAATTCCCGACCTCAGGTTGATGTGCCCGCCTTGGTCTTCTGAAGTGCTGGGATTACAGAGGCGAGCCACCGTGCCCAGCCAAGTTTGTTTCTAATGTAACCAAAAGAACTTACACTACAACTCTCCTCCCTTACATAAGTGACAGTTTTCAGTACAAATTTTTGTGATAATTTTAGAGTTAGAAGATCACAAAATTAGGAGCTGCAGAGATTATTTCCATCTCTCCCTTCATTTCACAAGATGAATAAATCAAACCCAGAAAAATAAAAGCCATTTCAAAGGTCATTTAGTTAGCTGGTGGCAGAACTGGAATTGGTTTTCCTTATTGTTCTTTGCTGATTTGTTGTGACTAGTTATATGGCTAGAGATTCAATCCATAACATTAATAATGTACCACGAGACAAATATTTACATTTTGAAAAGAGGCACAAACCATTCATACCTTTCTGTTTTTGACAATACCATCCCTTCTCATGCCAGATGTTCTTAGTTTTATAAAGAGGATTCTATTTGAGAGGGTGGTGGTTTGGAACATAGAAGACATTTTCTCACAAAACAGTGTCAAAGATGGCGGTTAGGGGCCCAAGTTTGCCTCTCTAAATCCTATTTCACCAACAACACAACAACTCTGAGGGAATTCTGAGGGAAAACATACTCTGTGCAAGAAGGGGCATTTCAAGAAGTAGCTGGGTAATCTTAGACAAGTCACTTAATCTCTCTGAGCTCAGTAACAACAACTAGAAAAACATGGTGATAATTAAGACTCATGGAACTTCTGGTTTGACAAGAACCTAAAGGTCTACTTTTAATTTTTAAAATATAGTTATCATGAAAATTTAAAACATGCTGAAAAACGAGTATAGACGTTATATAAACAAATGGGCATGGTCATTTCCCAATAAAACTTTATTTACAAAAATAGGCATTTGGCCCACAGGCTGTATAGGTTGCTGACCCTGTTATGTAACAATGCTGTTATCACAACTAAAGTTAACAAAAATTCCCTAATATTATACAATCACTCCATATTCCAATTTTTGCAGTAGTCCCCAAATCTATGTTGCAGTTTTTTTTTTTTTTTTTTTTTTTTAAATGAAGGGTCTTGCTCTATTGCTCAGGCTGGAGTGCAATAGCTCACTGCAACCTTGAACTTCTGGGCTCAAGCAATCTTCCAGTCTCTCAGCCTCCAGAGTAGCTGGGACTACAAGTGCACATCACCACACCCGGCTAATTTTTACATTTTTTGTAAAGATAAGGTTTTGCTATGTTGCCCAGGCTAGTCTCAAACTCCTGAACTCGGGCAATCCTCCCGCCTTGGCCTCTCAAAGTGCTAGGATTACAGGTATGAGCCACCGCGCCCAGCCATGTTTATTTTTTAATCCAGTCCAAATCCACACCCTGCATCTAAGACGTCCTTGGAGAGCCTAACGATTCTATTCTTTTATTTGCCTTTCTAACAGCTAAGCTCCTGGGTGCCTAGGACATCACAGTAACAAAGGAGAGACAACACCATGAAAAATAAAGTCTGGTGACTCTGAACAGCAAGGTATGCATAAATATACAGCATTTAAATCTTAAAATAACCTAAAAGGAGTTAAGAATCACAGTGCTCGGTTGAAACTTAAGTTTGAACATATAGAATGGTAGGATCTATCAACTGTGTATCAATATACCAGTATCCACTCTATGTAGTATCAATATACTATATAAAGTCAACTGTACACAAATTGTAACATCAACTCTATTAATTAAAAAGAAATTCATTTAACAAACAATAGAGTTATATTTATTCAAAGAAGGAATCTAGTACTTACCCAGAAATAGAACAATCAATAGGATGATAATGGTAAGGAAAGCCTTATTCCAAAAAGTTGCAATTTTACCCCAGACATTAAATGAAAAAATCTTCTGCCATCTGTAAAGCAATACAATTATATCAGGTATAAAAAAACTAAAAGTTCTGAAATACTTTCTAAATACTGAAGTAACATTTTTGTAATTGTGTAGCAAGTAAAAAGAATTACAGAAATTTAATTTTAAAATTTATTAATTCTGACAAGACAGAATATCTCATGAATTAAAAAACAACTCTTTCAAATTTAATAATAATCTGATATCTGATTATCCTCTGTCTGGTGGCTTAAATATTCTAAAAGTAAACCACACATGAGCAAAACCTTAAAAAGGAATTCTTGCAGTAGTAAAATATTATATTGTTGATAGAAGCTATTACTCTGTATCTTTTTCATGGTCAGAGCAATCACTTAGAAATAACAAAGATATATTGTTCTAACAATTGGCAACATTTCAGGAGTGGGGTCTAACTCTACACACTGATTTTTATATAGTACACTTTTAACATATCCTCCAAGTAAAAGTTTCTCTACTTTAACAATGAGGGAATTATAAAAATTACCCAGGTATTATATACATAAATTGAAAAAATCTTAATTATGTAACAATAATTTTCACACACACACTATATATATATAAAAAGCCATGTAATTACTACAGATAAAGATGTGAACATAGAGGAAATGAGACGGGGAAGTAGTCTAGATGGATTGAACAGTATAAGCAAAGACAGTGGTAAGAAAGCATGGGTTGTAAATGGCAGAGTGACAAAATAATCCATCATGCAATTGTACATGGGCAATTTAAATGAGTAACACTTTAGTCGAAAGGAGGCAGAAAAATGTAGTAAGCACTTACGCTTCAAGTACTTACAACTTGAAAAAAAAAGTTTCACTTTAAGATTAGGACAAATTTAAGATTTAAGATTAGGACAACTTTACTTGAAATTGGTGGGGTGAGGGAGATTCATACAGATGAACCGGTTCCTTTTGTCTCTGCTTCCAATTCCAAGCATTTTATATAGCCAATATTTAAATTATGCAATATAAAATTTTATATTTTTAAGATAACATAAGTGGTAATATCTTGATCTAGGTCCAAATGGAAATTTATTTATTTATTCAAGGTCTGGTGTGGTGTAAAAGGGAACATAAGAGACCTCCCATAGGGAACAACTAGCATTTGAGCACCTTATCAGAGTTACAACACATTATGTTCTCACTATATTACGGTTCTAAGTATTTTTACATGTTTTATCTCATTTAATTACAACAACTACCATATGAGTTAGACACTAGTACTATCTCCATTTTACAGATGGGGAAACAGATCAGAGAGGATCAAGAGCATGCCCAAGGTTAGTATCATGCAGTTATAGGTGACCTGATTTCTGAGCATGTGCCTTTAACCACTGGGTTATGTAAGAAAATAATAGAGACTAAACGATGAAATATTTTCTTAAAGATTATGGTGATACACATATAAAAGATAAAAACATGTGGATAAACACATAGTTAGGGCACATTATAAATGATCTGCGTGCATACATACCGTATTTTCTTTATATTTGTACATGAGAATACATTTATATATCATGTGCAAATATACACACATCTATCTAACAGCCAATTGATCAGGATGGGTAAAATTTTTATTTGGCAGGAAGAAAAATATTGATCCATAACTTACAGATCACTCTGATGGAGAAAAGATCAACTTACATTTTTTTCTTCTTTGCAAACCCTTAAGTCTTATCTATAAATTAGATGTTTACACACAAGATCTTTCTCTTGAATATATAGGATTCTATCATTGCAAATACTACTAAAAAGCAAAACAGGGTGTTACTGAGTTTGAAACAAAACCTACAGGATGAGAGGCAGCATGATGGAGTAGAAAGAACACTGGACTAAGAGCCAGATTTTTACCTAGAACCTGTCACTTACCAGCTAGGTAACCTTAGGCTACTTGCCCTCCTGGGTTGCAGTATGCGATCTATAGAACATGGGTGGGATGGATCAAATAAGATCAAAGACCCTACAGGATGATTCAATTTTTTTTCTTTAGTAAGAAACAACGTACTGAGCTTAGCTTAGCTGATAGAGAAGGACAGAAGAGAGCAGAAATCCAGGCAGGTAAGGAGCAAGTTAGGAGTTGTGAAAGACTATTTGGACGCTGAGCTAAGGTAAAACTTCTTGAAGTTTCTCCCAGTCCTCCTGGGATTTTACTACACTTTAGTGAGTTATCTCTAGGATCTCATTTACGAAAGATTTTCTTTTATGCCAGGAATATGAACAAATGTCTTGCAACATTTTTATCACGTGTGCATTTCCCCATTCATACTATCAAATTTCTGGATCTAAAACTAAACGACTAAAAAGTAGATTATTTCAAGGGTAAAATGAGCCAGTGCTTCGCTTGAAACACTGTACTTGGTTCTTAAAGACCTTAGATCCGTCACTAAAGAACTAAAGCTAATACATGGTTGTGATACTTTTTACATTCAGCACTTTTAATAGACATTCGTTAATTTTATGTGAAACCAAAAGTAGTAAAATTGTCATTAAACATTAATGAAACTATTTATCGGTTACATAGACCAAAACTAAGAATAATTTATTGGCTTTGGTTTCTAAATTGCTGTTTCAGTGCCTCAATGAAACACTTTTTCACCTATGCTGTACTGTAAACATGATTTATCCACTTACATTTATTTAGTTCATGGCTCCAATTCAGGGCAATAAAACAAAGGTAAAACCTGAGACAAGGCAGGGCAGGTGTTAAAAGTATAACTGTTGCTTTATTATATCTGTAATCAACAGAATCAAAAGCATAGGCCCCTTTCCTTTTAGAAGGGAAGAAAAAGTTATTTCACCTGTACACGTAACAGAGTTTTATATAAAATGTTATTTTAATATTGGCATTATATACTATCTAATTCGTTAGGTGTGTGTATTTTCAAAGACTTTCTAAACTTTTTAATGCTCAGAAAACTTTTTTCATTTTACATTAGGAGCGATCCAATATTTATTATAGTTAACGATTTGAAGATTTCCTACCTCTGAGGAGGAATAAAAGGTAGGCAGAAGATTAAAATGAGTCCTATTTCGGCATAAAGAAAGGTTGCCACTGCCGCCCACTGGAGTGTCATTTTTTTTTCTTCACACCTAAATGGAGAAACGCTTATTTTTATCCTGCTTCCTTTCAAACAAAACCGTTCAATGCCCCGAGGCGCAGCGTTTTTGTCCGGGGGAAGGACCGTGTCCCACCTTCCCGCACCTGGGGGGCCGGCACGGACCCCGGTCAGGAAGGGGGAAAGGGTGGCCCGGGAAGCGGGTGGCTACCTCCCTGGGAGTCGTGGGACCTGGCGAGGCGGCCCGCTGGCCACTGCCTTTTCCGCCAGCTTCGCGGCGACAGAAGCCCAACGCCACCCTCCACCAACGCCCGGCTTCCCGGCCCTCCCGCTC